ATATATATATATATATATATATATATATATATATATATATATATATATATATATATATGTATATATATATATATATATGTATGTATATATATATATATGTTTTGAGCCCGTCGATCGTTTGTAGCTCATTAGCTGACTCTCGCTAGTCCACGAACGCTCCCAATATCAGAGGGGTTCACTATCCTTACTCACTCGCCTAGTATCGGTAATGATTCAAGTCAAGTATGACTCATCGTGTTTACTTTACGTTTTTTTTGCTGGTAGGCGGAAGGGAGAGCTCGGCGTCGGCACAACGCGCGCAACAAGAACGAACCCAACCAACCCGTCTACTTCCACTTCGCAGTAATCTTTGCAGGTGCGTGTGCGAGGCTTTTATCTCTCTCTGACCATATGTTTGTATATGCAGCGATTGAGTGTCGGGTTTACGCCAGCCCAATGTTCTTGGACTATGCCTTTTCGTTGCACGTTATTAGGAACGTACAGACGGTGCTACTACTTGGACTATGCCGTCTCGTTGTACGTTACTAGGAACGTACAGACTGTGCCACAGTCTGATGGTCACTTGTGAGTGGTCAAACTTTGCTGGGGTGGAGCTGCTTGGTTTGTTTTCGTAGATGCAAATGCCACACAAACACCAACGGCTTCATACCACTCACCACACTACAGCTGTATGTAGAGAGCTCAAGATCCCCGTCGACGACATGTGCGACGCCTTCCTCTTCATCAGTCTTCGCGGTACGTGGGTTGCCATCAAGGGGTAGTCGTTCGAGCGGTAGTCGTTAAAGTGTTAGTCGCCCATGTGCGTATGGCGCTCTCGTCCTGCCCATCGCTTCCCCTTGACACGTTGTGTGTTGTGTGTGTCCAATCGGTTGTGTTTAGTTGGTCCCATGTGTGTCGCTTATTTAGTCGTCAATTTTGGCTGTACCGCCGTAGGTTTGCCTAAAGTCTGTTTGTGTGGACTGTGCTGTGCAGGGACATTGTGTGCATGGTTGGTTGTCTTGGCTATTGATTTCCGCTGCTCACGACATGCTACTGATGGCTATTAAGATTACATGCTACTAGTACCTATGGCTTTTAGATTACATGCTACTGATACCTATGGGGGTAAGATTACATGCTACTATTACCTATGGCTTCTAGATTACATGCCACGGATGCCTATGGGGTTAATATTACATGCTACTAATACCTATGGCTTCTAGATTACATGCTACTGATACCTATGCCTTTGGTTGGTCGCTGGGTTTTAGTAGCACGTTTTCGTCTACTGTTCGCTGTGATATGATATGCAGGACAGCGTATGCGTCCTCAGCTGCAACACCTCCGGGTGAGCCACTGAATTCTTAGACATATAGTATGCACAGGCACCTCGCTTGTAGTGGTGTTGGGAGCACACTCCGCGTGGATGTTATTGTGCTACACAAGCGCTTGCTGCGTTGCGTAGTACTCGGCAATAGGAGACAATGTGTGATGGCGTGATTGGATTTCCACTCTAAGGAGATGATCGTTGCGTGCTCATCGGTAGCCATTTGCCCTTTGCATTCGCACAGGATTGACTGGTGCCGCTGTTCGGCTGGGTCTCATAGGGCCCATCCAGGCGCAGGTGAGTTCTATACAGTGATCTCTACGTAAATGGTATGCATAAATAATGCGCTTGAATGGACGTTGTCGAATAAATAAGCTCATCCAAGTACTTGCGAGCTTTGATTGGTTAGACGCAGGTGAATGGTTGGCTGTTATTGGTGGGGTAGGCGAATGCTTCTATACATTCCTCTTCTGAATGTGCCGTAGTTGTGTGCAATAATTGTGAGCTGCAGATAAACGCAGGTGAATGGTTGGCTGTTTTTGTTGGGGTAGGCTAATGCTTCTGTACACTTCTCTCCTCCGAGTGTGCCGTAGTTGTGTGAAACAATTGTGAGCTGTAGATAGACGCAAGTGAATGGTTGGCTGTGATTGGTGGGGTAGGCTAATGCTTTGAATGTGCCGTAGTTGTGTGACTGTCCCTGGTGTCATGGGCGGTGTCATAGGTGTCAATTAATTGACACTACACCAAGCTCTGGTCCGGACTCTTCGCTCATCAGCACACACACAGTTCTAGCAGCCCTCCTCACACATGCGCACCTTATAAATGGGAGCACTCCACCGCGCATATCCGCTGACCTTGTGTGTATGTATAGTGCCGCTAGAGCCACAGGTATAACCACCGTGGCATAGGAGATTACGTACGCATATATTCCTGTCCATCACACATGTGCATCCTATTGGTAACGTTTATTGTACATATCCTAACTTCTATCCACCACGTCTTGCATGTATCCGTTCGCTTGGTCGCCAAAGTAACTGGCTTGCATGTACTTCGTCTCATACTCTGAATGTTAAACATTACATATTGGCAGCGCCTCCAATTCCAGCTCACGCCTGCGACGAGTGCTATGTCCAGCCACTACATAGCCCAGAGACTGCAGGACAGCGCCTCGACCGATCCCATCTTGGACCTGGTGCATAGCAACCATGACTCACTCTTCTTCAAACTGTTCATCAGCTGAGGGGAGTGAAGGCACCCGCGCACGGGCTTATCTGATTGGTTGTCGAGACATGAGTTATCGCCAGTGGGCCAGTAGATGACCATTGCACTGTCGGTCGGTGTGGCTACATATGGTTCTCCACCGACTGCAGACTTCAGTTTCGTAGTCTACTGGGGGTGGTGTGTAGACTGACACCCTAAACCCAAGCCCTTCCGTGCGGTCCTGATGTAACTCGGATGGCTGGAGTTACATTGGAATGGCCTTGCAATCTGATACTTCACAGCCCACCACTACAAAGCACTACAAAGCGAAATGAGAGAACTTGGGCAAGAAGAGGACCGACTCTAGACCGCATTGATGGGGTCGCTCGAGTGTCAGTGTCGTGTGCTATTTGATACGCGGGTGGCGCTGCAGTCTACCACCGCGTGGTACGAGATATGGTGTGTGGTACCAAGAACCATCCACTGCATCTCATAGACACCACACGGCGCATAGACCTGCGTTATTCCGACTGCTTGTGCGGTGTATAACACACCTCAGCGGGAAGGAATGTCGTACCATTGCGCGTAGTGGAGAGTGACGCGTGTGGTAGGAGTGGACGGGAGACTACGCATCGAATGAGTGGTGTGAGTAGGGGGACTTCATATCCAGCACAGGAAACAGAGCGCACCACAGTAGCTGAAATGCCACATGTGACGTTCATATATGCGGCACAAGATACACATCCCGCGTACTATAGGGCTAGTTCTTGATTAAATATGTCCCCTTGCACGTATGTGGGGCGTGTGGAATAGACACCGGTCGGTTAGCTGTACTTGTATGTAGAAGGATCAAATGTACTGCGAACCGGAGGTTCAATTGGAGGCGTCATATAAACCTGTTTATTGTACCTCTGTACCTCGAGGCTGACATCATTAGAAACGACCAAGAGGGAGTGGGTAAATCTGGTCCCTCCATCCAACAACTGTTTATGTACGAAAGTGCGGCATAGAATGCATTCATAGCTCACTGAATACAAGAAGGATATCACAATGTACAGAAAAAACTTGGAGATGCTTTGGTTCAGTGCTAGCTTAGGTTTATAGAGTCTTATTCCAAAGTATTTAAGTAACTTATTCTATTTATTCCGTCGTGCACTCGGGAGATTGTCCCATATCGGATTGTTGTGGAGATTAATGTAATCTAATAATCAGCAAATTCATTAGTCATTATTCTATATATGCACTGTTGTACACTGTAGTACCACATACTACATGACACTCGAAGGTCTCTGCCTCTGCGGACGTTGCCTCTGTGGACGTTTGAGTATGGGCACCTCAGTATCAGCTTGCAAGGGCTTCATTGTGGCAGCAATCACACTGTGACATACTGGTGCCACCCACTGAATGCGTTATGTAACAGTGCGTCGTCTGCGCTGTTTCCAGGTGTCGTCGTAAAGCGTCTTTACTTCAGGCACTGGCACATCCTTGGATCCTTGCCATGACCACGTGACCCCTGGGACCAAGTCCTCTTCTGATACCAATGAGGGCCCAGATGTAAACTTGAATAAATTCGAGCGCATGTCATACGTCGCTGTGTTGTTGTAAACCTTTGCAGACGCCAGAACCTGCGTTAACCCCTCATTCGTATACTGAGACCACTGACTCATAACAGCTCCCGTGTGGAGCGAGGTATTGTTGCTGAATACGCCACTAAACACAAGGTGTGCTCCAGCACCGATGATGTTAGTAGCCATTACCCCTCCATCGACGTCTGATAGGTTGTCTATAAACTCACCGGACAGGATTGTAGTAGAGCCTGGTCCCAAGTTAAACACCCGCACAGCACCCGCACGCGCGCCTTCGCCCTGGTCGAGTGCTTTGTTGGCCTTAAATGTACTTTGGAAATCAATTGAGCCCACATTCGAGTTGATTGAGATTGCACCTCCTTGGTTGGATACATTGTCCTCGAACCTGGCCTTTTTGCCGGTGATTACGGACCCCTCATTGGTGTCAATATATACCGCACCTCCAGTGCAATGTTTAGACCCGCCCGTATAGAAGGCCGTGTTACCTTTGTATTCACCACCCACGTATAACTCAGCCTTGTCCTCTATATATTGTACGCACAGTACAGCTCCTCCGTGATAAAGCTCGGTTTGGGTGGACTCTATCTTGTTATCCCAGAACATACAACTGTCATCAATCCTCGACTCGCCAGCCAACCCCCCAATATTTCCGATGAAAAATACAGCACCCAAGCGCTTATTCCACATTCCATATGCTCGGATGTCAGATGCTCTGAATGTCACGTACATTTCGCCGCTGTCGCCCTCCCCTCCCGAGGTTCGCAGAGCTGACACAAACTCACCCTCCTTCGATGTAATGTCAAATCCCTGGAATGAAATCGAGATCCTGGAAGGACCTTGAGGACTGAACATACCGTTGCTCTCCGAACTATACGCCCCGATTATTTTTGCTCTGCCTTCATTGTCGCACTCTACACCACGCACATCCAAATCACCACGGAAACGCATCGCAGACGCTATCTCGTGCGTACCTGCGAAGTGGATAACCCCATTATTATCACTCACGGCTTGACTGAAGGAGTCCTGACACTTGCCACCCTGCAGCACAAGCGATGTGCACTCGCATGGGTCACTTACGGCTGAGGTGGAATCGATTAGGTTGAGTACGAGGATGGACAGTGTACCACAAAATGATTTGATTTTCATTATTCTTATCTATAGGAAGCGTGGTGTCACTGGTGTGTGAATTTGTCTACACACTACAAGCGAAATTCTTATAAACAATAAATCCTTGGTGACAAGTACACGAGCTCTTTTTAAAATAGAATACTTAAGCCGCTGAGGATACCATGGGTGCACAGATGTACATGGTTGTGTAAAAACCTTTTTAAAGACATATTATTGAAGAATGCTGGTGGTTTCAGATTTTTAAAAATCTAATTTTACTATTTAGAGGGGGATTTCCTTTTTTATTTTAGAAAGCTATGGCATGTATCTTTTTTAGATTTTACTTTTCAGACTCCCGAGACATAATAAATTTCATTGGTGAAGAATTTTTACGCATTTTTTCATTTTTTTTTTCACTGGCTCTTGTCTGGAGCACTGTATCCCTCGAATCTAGATTTGGGTCTCGAGTCTCGACCCTCGAGGACTCGACGGAGCAGAGTGAAGCAGTAATCACTAATCACTGAAGACTGCAGAGTGCAGACGGCAGACTCAGTAAAGAGTGCAGATTTGCAGGTTGGCGATTGCAGAACTGGCTGAACTGCAGACTGTCACAGTGTCACTGCAGTCGACCGGAAATCAGAAATGAAGAGGCCAGCTAAATTTAAATAGCGCAGACCTTCTCTGAAGTCTGAACTGAGAACTCGCTTGTATTGTAAAGTCTGAAGTCAGAAAACTGAAGGCGACTGGCGAGGAAGCTTGAACAGATGAACAACACTTAAATTATAAATTTTTTATTACCACGAGGGGGTTTCTCCGTTTGCAGGCCCTCCTGGTACAATAATTGGCTATATATAAAATGAACAGCTTTCAGTCTCCACGGCGTCCCAGCCGTTGATATTTTCGATTGTCATATATCATAACCCTCTAAATACACAAGATATGGATATATAAGTACATATATTATTGCTACTACATATTAGAGGAAGATATCAATACATAGGAACGAGAGAAATAAACATTTGGCGCACAAGGACTCGAACATTGAAGGTGGGACACCATATGATTTCTAATTATACCCTTTATCCGCTCAGACATGCGCCGTGTTTTAATACCAGCCGTTGATTTTTTCGAATGTGAAATAGTATAGCGCTCTAAATTAAAAACAAGAGAGGGTTATGGATATATATATATAAATACATATATTATTAATACTAGTATTCTACTAGTAGAGGGAGGTATTTTAAAAAAGATACAGAGCATGAGAGAAAAATATTCTTGGCGCACAAGGACTCGAACCTTGGAGGTGGGACACCATATGATTTCTAATCATACCCTTTAACCGCTCAGGCATGCGCCATGTTTCAATGCCTTCGTATTTTAAGTATAGATTATAAAACTCATGACGGATATTGTTGCATGCAAATTGTCGGCGAAGTATTCTGGCAAAGTATTCGATTCAGGCGGAGCGATGCCTGACGAGTCTGAGAGCCATGTATTTACATATTCCACTGATCAATGTTTGTGAGTGAGTACAATCCTCAAATGCTAATGACAATGTTGCGTATGCACAGATAATTATTCGGAATGCCTGAAACTACACACACCACGTCTTTACTGCGGTGGTGGAAAGCATGCTACTTGTCATCTTGATATTAATAAGACACTTTTACCCGACTCATTTCTAGAGATGGATCTCTGCATGCGCGAGCTTGCATTATGTTTCAGAGTGTTTGCAAAGAACCTGATCTCTCCCTGACTGCGCACGCATACCCAGTGCGGGTGCCCAGGTGTGCTGTGGCATCAGTTCCGTACTATTGCAACACGATACCAATGGACAGCACCCAGTATACTATTTACTGGAATCAGGTGTCGCGCCAGACTACCACCGCCAGTGGTAACTACTGTCGATACATCTGTGGGAATCAAAAGGACTGATCACCATCGCACGCTGGGATGAGTAGTGGTGGTTTCACCAGGCATACTCAGATGCGGCGAAAGAATGCGACAGCATGGCTTCGTTAAGATAGACTGTGCAATGGTTTACGACGACTAAACAAAGCCAGGCCACGCTTGATATCTGCAGAATGTAGTGCACACGAGAAGTCGCTTTTGTGAGAGTTACCAAACACGTAAATAAATCACAGCTAAGAAAATCGTCGTTCTTTGGCGTTTGTGTTGTTTATTCATTAGCTTCCTGCGGGAATAAACTATTCTAAATTTGGTAAATTGTCGTGGGCTGTCCTTGGCTCTTAATATTACTCAGACACGACTTGGTAGTGCCTCGGTGTACATTCAGAGCCTCGAACGTGTTACGTGTAGCTGGGCACGCCCTGAATGCATTCATGCCCGGCAACCGTGGACATTCGACTAACCTCACGCATGTCGTACCATGGCGGTGAACGACCGGGCCGTGTAGCTATTGTCACTCGGTGATAAGTACGCGTGCAACACACTAGCTAATTGCACACAATAGTACTAACACCGGATGTAGCTGCGCTCACAGGCCGACGCAAAGTGGACAATGTCGGCTTCTAACTTTCATATATGTCGAGCAATGAGCAGCTTTGTTGTGGCGATTTCGGACAGACACCTCTCGTGGGACAAAGCCCAAGCGTGAGTGTGTTCGTAAGTGATTGCGTGCGTGCACACGTGTATCTACGCGCGCATGTCTCTGAACGTCAGAGTGATCGTAAATAAGTGTATGTGTTTATGTAGGTGTGTACGTGTACACATAATGCATGTGTATATGTATGATAAATTAGTGTAAGTGTATGTGTATACGAGTAATAGTAATAGTATTGAGTATGTGTATACGTGTACGTCATTGGGTGTATGTGGCTACACCATCTCATCCATTCCCTGAGCCACTTCAAAGGCCACCCGGGTACACCCTCAACACTGCTGATAGGTAGATACCTACACAACACATGAAGCCTCCTTTCTGCCCTGTACCAATAGTGGCTTGCGCTCCAGCAATCCATGCGGCCTACGTACCTACACAAGTATCGTTCTTGCACGAGTACATAGATTGCCTCTCAAGTTCGTAAATGCAATACAGATGCGTGTATCTATCTATGCAGCGACTGAGATATGCTGATCTAAATGTGCTGCCTATGTAGCGACTGAGCTACGCTGATTTAAGCGTGCTACTATGTAAGCTACCTATGCAGCGTCTAGGATACGCTGATCTAAGCGTACTACTAGATAAGCTACATTTGCAGCGACTGAGTTACGCTGATTAAAGCGTGCTACTAGGTAAGCTACCTATGTAGTGACCGAGCTACGCTATTTGAGCGTGCTACTAGGTAAGCTACATATGCAAGTTAAGCTACCTATGCAGCGACTGAGCTCCGCTGATCAAAGCGTGCTACTAGGTAAGCTACTTATGCAGCGACTAAGATACGCTGATATAAGCGTACTACTACTTAAGCTACATATACAGCGACTGAGCAGCGCTGATTAAAGCGTGCTACTAGTAAAGCTACCTATGCAGCGACTGAGCTACACTGATTTAAACGTGCACAAGGTAAGCTACATTTGCAGGACTGAGCTACGCTGATTAAAGCGTGCTATCAGGTAAGCTACCTATGCAGGGATTGAGCTACGCTGATTTAAGCGTGCTACTAGGTAAGCTACCTATGCATCGACTGAGTTACGCTGATTAAAGCGTGCTACTAGGCAAGCGCCACTCCTCGGACAAATCCCAAGTGGGGTATGATGATAAGTCCTATCTCCAACAGCCCGCACGGACAATTCTGTAACGCCCCTCCCAGCCTTCCAGCACAACCAATAGGCTAGCTAGTCCTGCAGGTGTACCCCGGGTGCACCCAGTTGTACAGGATAGTGTACATTTGTCCTAAAAGTGAAAAGCATGCGCTGCAGTGATCCAGGCTACGCACAGGACGGGCAAGGTAGAGAGACAAACCCTGGAAACTCTGCCGGTAAGACCTGTACATTCAAACTCGCACTACGGTTGGGTATCAGAGTCATCACCAGACAGACACCAGGCGTCTCCGCATAGCACCTTCAAGGGGTGAAGCATATCGCCTCCAAGGGGAGAAGTTGTACACCCACAACTACTGGGCATGCAGCCCATCCCACACCCAGCAGCCGTCCACATAGGCCACAGCGTCTATCTACCTCAGCTGGCCATGACTGGGATCGAACTGTACCGAACATCCATAAGTACACCAAGAGGCTGTCCTCCGCAAAATATGAGCGATCAACGTCATGGCGTCTCTGCATAGCACCTTCAAGGCATGCAGTAGTACACCCACAACTACCGTGTATGCTGCCCATCCCAAACCCAGCAGCCGCCCACGTACTAAGTGTTGGGCCTTTCCAGGGTCTATCTCTATGCCTTCCTTCTGTAGGTACTACCTATCACAGGAAAGGTGCCTTGCCCACTATCACTCACGGCATGGACAGCCGAGTCTATCTCAGCTGGCTATGGCGGGTACTGAACGGAGCCGAAAGTCCATATTTGTTGCACGGGCGTTCCTCTGCAGTGTATGAATGTATTGGCCCCTCAGTTCAGAGTAGTTGAGTGCTGTCTGCTGATATAAATCCAGAGCAGCGATACAATCCGCACTATCACATACCCAGCAACGCACTTGTAGGCAATCAAAGTCCTTTTGGGTCAGTTTCAGTCCAGTCTTGCAACAACCGGGACCTTCCACGCACCACCTGACACTCCAGAGCAGTCTGTGCGCGGAAAAGGTGGTTGCCAGTTGCCCTCTTTATCTCGAGAGATGTGTTTGTGTATATATATATACACACACACACACATATATATGTATATATATGCGTGTACATATATATGTGTGGTTGTGTGGTTGCGCACGAATCTACGAATCGAATGCGTGAGCGATCATGTTCAACACCCATTTCTATTGGGAAGGCACTGAACTCGCCCATGTAGGCGTCCCCACACCCATCTCCATACACCCACTCTCACCACAAAGACAAGTGCACATGCACACACTCTTCTCCTAACACCTGTCTACTGTGCCTGGCAATCCCGTTGCTGTTGGTGGCCGATCCCTCCGCCGTGCTGGTTCATATAACTACCAAAGGAATCACCATCACCCATAGGGCCCATCATCTCACTCGACGGCACACTGGTCAGAGACGCTCGCCCGCGGTACATATGCATGGCATCTCCTAAGTTCACCTGTCGCGTGCCGTGTGAGGGGGTGTGGTTATCCATTGTTGGGCGCGAGTTGTACTGTCCGGAAAGTTCGGAACCTCCGTCTGAGTCCTCCATTTCTTGCAACTCGAACTCGCCTGGGTGCACCTCTTCGTCATCGCGTGGGGCCGGTAGGTCTGGCCTTGGCGGCAGCAGACCCTCCAGCATGGCCTATAATGTATGAGGAAGGGAAAGGATGTTATATACATATATATGATGAGGAAAGAAAAGGTTGTTATAAATATATATATATATATATAGATACTTGGGTTGTAGGAGGTTCAAAGTTAAAATATACAGAATAAACAGTAAAATTTTATACTTTGTGTCTTAGGAGTGTAGCGTACTCTGCCTATTTGAGAGCGAAGAAGGTAAACATGTCATCACAACATCTAAGTACAGATGGGGTGCTGTGTGTATCTCTATGAAGAGGAATGGCTGAGGGAGAATGTGACAACGATTGCAGATATGTATTATGAGCGTATGGTATTGAATGCAGACCAACACAGAGAATCTGAATGTATGTGTATGTATGTGTATGTATGTGTATATGTTATATATGTATGAGTATGGGTATGGGTTCGAGTTTAAGTATGAGTATGAGTACGAGTATGAGTATGAGTATGAGTATAAGTATAAGTACGAGTACGAGTATGCTATGTGTATGCAAGTGCTCAGTCCAGAACTCCTGACCCCAATATCTGCATGCATATCCTGTGCATGTCATGTATATCTTACAATGGACAAGATGACTACATATGAATAACACAGCCCACCACAGGCAATGCGTCTGACCATAGTCACGTACAGACACACTACACACTACCATGCATACAATACGTTACATTACAGACAGGTATGAGACCACATTCACGTACACGTACAAAAACACTACACACTACCATGCATAACAATACGTTACATTGCAGACAGGTATGAGACCACAGTCACGCACACTACCATGCATAACAATACGTTACATTGCAGACAGGTATGAGACCACAGTCACGTACACGCACACTACACATTACACACCACCATGCATAACAATACGCTACATTACAGACGGGTATGAGATTACAGTCACGTACGCGTACACGCACACTACACACCACCATGCATTACAATACGATACATTGTAGAGAGCCATTCAACCGTTAGTCTAGTCACACACGTACCATACTGGCCTCGTCCGCAAAGTTGTCTGGCGGAAACATAACAGTGAACTCAACAATCAATCGCCCATGCTTGCCAGGGCTCCCCCTGATTGGCATACCCAGTCCAGGTATACACCTTCGATGGCCTAAAAATAAAATGGTAGCAACGGGTTAGCAACGAGTACGCTATATGCGACTGGTCAGCGAATCGAGGGAGGATTGACTTCGATTGCGGTTAGCGGTACGGTTAGAATTGAGGTGATTTATGTATATACAACAAAGACAAGTTACTGATGAACACACACACACACACACACACATATATATATAGATGTATACATAAACGTACATGAATGTATACACTGCAGTAAAATACCGCCCACGTACAGCCATTCATTCCGTACCTTCCGTTGTGACTTGCCCAGGCGCACACGTGACGGCAAGTTTCTTGTTGTTGACAAAGGTGATGTAGCGTGTAAACCCACACAGCGCTTCCACTAGCATAATCTCTAACGTGGTGCACAGATCATCGCCCTTCCGCCTGAACCGGAGATTCTCTCGCTCTTGTAACACCACCACTATATCAGCCTCGGGTCGCCCTGCAGCCTGCGAAGGAGACGTGTGTGTGAGCTTAGTATAGCGAGACAACGTGTGTGTGTGAGCTTGGTATAGCGAGATAATGTGTGTGTGAGCTTGGTATAGCGAGATAATGTGAGTGTGCGAGCTTGGTATAGCGAGATAATGTGTGTGTGAGAGCTTGGTATAGCGAGATAATGTGTGTGTGGGCTTGGCATAGTAGGATTATGGGTGTGTGTGAGCTTGGTATAGCGAGAGAATGTGTGTGTGAGCTTGGTATAGTGAGAAAACTGTGTGTGTGTGTGTGGTTGTGTCCGTACCTCCCATGTATATGCCCCACAGACGCGCTAGTAAAGCGACGATTACATTTCTTCAACTAGACGGTTGGTTGTGAACAGATGTATAGGAATACCTTATTAGACACCCCAGGCCGGTGATATGATGGGCTGGGATTGAGAGTACATGCACACGTGTATGCTTGTAGCTACACCACTGAATTCACTGCATGCTTCATGTTCCTACATTCAATGCTGATGCAGCGCATGTGCACACTTGAGAATGGGTTGGAACTGGCTGCAAGCAACGGCACGTGATAGTGATGTGTCATTCATTGTTGTTCTTGAAACCACGAGTATTGTCCCATTAGTGTAAGTGCTATTGACCTAACAGGCACATGTACTTTATCTTCTGAGAATGTGCTCTGACTACATAGGAAGGGGTCAAAGACATACATGATACCTTGATTACATCACGCACACGTTTGAGTAAAGACAGACAGCACGTGCACATAAAGACATGTACATACATAGACATAGACAAAGACCACACACACACACACACACACATATATATATAAAGATATATGTATATGCAAGATATACACGAAGGTATAGTACAGAATACACGGTCAGATTCTGATCATCCACGTGGATGTGTATGTGGCACGTTTTGGTTGTGTGCAATGGTGTGTATACACATACTTGTTGGTCGCCTTGGGCCTCCAGTGTTATCCTATCACCATCTTTCATTCCCGGTTCAACAGAGATTGAGAGTATATTCCGTTCTGTGCACGGAACCAATACGATCAAAGCAATGAGATGTGAATAGTTGCCGGTGGCGAAAAAAAATAATGCTATTGTAAACCCTAAACACCGTTAACCAGATCAGAAAGCAGCAGAATAAGATCTGAGAGCAACATAACCAACCAATATACCCAGATTTGAAACCAACATAGCCAGATCAGAAAGCAGCAGAATAAGATCTGAGAGCAACATAACCAACCAATATACCCAGATTTGAAACCAACATAGCCAGATCAGAAACCAATATAACCAAATCTGACACAAACGCAACAAGATCTGATACCAAAACAACAAGATCTGACACCAACATAATCAGATCTAAAACCAACATTACCAGATCTGATACCCATAACCAGATCTTAAACTAACATAGCCAAATCTGAAACAGGCATAAGCAGATCTGAAACCGTAACTAGATCAGAAACCAACGTAACCATATCTGATACCAACATAATCAGATCTGAAACCAATATTACCAGATCTGATATCCCAAATCAGATTTCAAACCAACATAAGCAGATTTGAAAGTAGCATAGGCAGATCTGAAACTAACGTAACCAGATCTGACACCAACATAACCAGATCTGAAAGCAACAGGGCCAGATCTGAAAGCAACATAAATAGATCTGAAAGCAGCATAACCAGATCTGATACCAACGTAACCAGATCTGACATTAACATAACCAGATCTGAAAGCAACATAAATAGATCTGAAAGCAGCATAACCAGATCTGACACCAACATGAACAGATTTGACCAACATAACCAGATCTGAAAGCAACATAAATAGATCTGAAAGCAGCATAACCAGATCTGATACCAACATAAACAGATTTAACCAACATAACCAGATCTGAAAGCAACATAAATAGATCTGAAAGCAGCATAACCAGATCTGATACCAACGTATCCAGATCTGACACCAACATAAACAGATTTGACCAACATAACCAGATCTGAAACCAACATAACCAGATCTGAAACCAACAGGACCAGATCTGGAAGCAACATAAATATATCTGAAACCAGCACAACTAGATCTGATATCAACGTAATCAGATATGACACCAACATAACCAGATCTGAAAGCAGCATAACTAGCTCAGATACCAACGTAACACCAACATAAACAGATTTGACCAACATAACCAGATCTGATACCAACGTAACCAAATCTGAAACCAACGTAACCAGATGTCATACCAGCATAACCAGATCTGAAACCAACATAACCAGATCTGATACCAACATAACCAGTTCTGAAAGCAACATAACAAGACCTGAAACCAACATAACCAGATCTGAAAGCAACATAGATATATCTAAAACCAGCACAACTAGATCTGATACCAACGTAACCAGATGTCATACCAGCATAACCAGATCTGAAACCAAATCTGATACCAACATAACCAGATCTGAAAGCAACATAAACCAGATCTGAAAGCAACATAACCAGATCTGAAAGCAACAGGACCAGATCTGAAATCAGCATAACTAGATCTGATACCAACGTAACCAGATCTGACACCAACATAAACAGATTTGACCAACATAACCAGATCTGATACTAACATAACCAGATCTGAAAGCAACATAACCAGATCTGAAAGTAACATTACCAGATCTGAAACCAGCATAACCAGATCTGACCAACATAACCAGATCTGATACCAACATAACCCGATCTGAAAGCAGCATAACCAGATCTGAAAGCAACAGGACCAGATCTGAAAGCAACATAAATATATCTGAAGCCAGCACAACTAGATCTGATACCAACGTAACCAGATATGACACCAACATAACCAGATCTGAAACCAACGTAACCAGATCTGACACCAACATAACCAGATCTGAAACCAACGTAACCAGATGTGATATCAACATTACCAGATCTGAAAGCAACGATACCAGATCTGAAACCAGCACAACTAGATCGGATACCAACGTAACCAGATATGACACCAACATAAACAGATCTGACACCAACATAACCAGATCTGAAACCAACGTAACCAGATCTGACACCAACATAACCAGATCTGAAACCAACGTAACCAGATCTGATACCAACATTACCAGATCTGAAAGCAACATAAATATATCTAAAACCAGCACAACTAGATCTGAAACCAACGTAACCAGATCTGACACCAACATAACCAGATCTGAAACCTACGTAACCAGATCTGACACCAACATAACCAGATCTGAAACCAACGTAACCAGATCTGATACCAACATAACCAGATCTGAAACCTACAAAACCAGATCTGAAGTCAACATTACCAGATCTGAAGCCAACATTACCAGATCTGAAACCAGCATAACCAGATCTGAGTCCAGCGTAACAAAATCTAAAGCAACACCAACATTACCAGATCTGAAACCAGCATAACCAGATCTGAGACCAGCGTAACCAGATCTAAAGCAACACCAACATAAACAGATCTGAAACCAACACCACTAGATCTGGAACGGACACAACCAAATCTGAAAACAATATATGCCATGCGAGAATAATAAAAACATCTCCAACTCAGATAGTGAACTATTACACTTAACAAAGTGGAGGTGTAACAAGGTAAACTTAATAGGTAACTAGCCGTATGTACCAGTGCATACGCTCTTGCTATGACTTAGCCGACAATCCGTGAGAACATCGCACACGCTATTCATACATAGCTAGTACTTGTAGCCATTGCATGAGGAACCAACGCCCATCGCTGCCGACAAACCAACCCAGCATAAACATAAGCCAGTAGCACTATGTTGCAATGCATTATAATGACAGCCAGGTAGCTCTGGCTTGATTGTGCACACCAACACACTCTAATCACGTGCGCATCCATTCGTACCTGTAACTAATTTCTTTCCTGAACACGCTTGGCAACACATATCCTTTTGGATCACAAACCCATTGCCCTGGCATTGTTTACATGTCTGACTCATCTGTGGACGGCGAATGGGAAGGAGTTTCAAGATTACAAAAATAGAAATGGAAAATAAAATTAGGATTCAGGAAAGTTGAAGCCAATATTTTAATCACAAAGCTATTTCCCTGGCATCCCTTACACGTCTGATTTATCCGTGGATGCCAAGCGATATTGGTGAGGTTATAGAAGTTCCAGAGTTTTAAAGTGTAAGGGGTTTGCGTTTTTAGTTCAGACATAGCCTCCTAACAAAAAAAGAAATGGTTGAGAGAGAGCGAGAGGACATCGTGAATCCCACAACTTACGGAATGATCTACACCCTGTGATTCACAGGGTTCAATATGTATGGGCTTATAGTTAAAAAAATTACGATAAGGCAACCATTTAAAAGCATATTCACGTTTTCAGGCCGTCGCCTATTACAAGCCCTGGCTACGGAGCCGAGTCCATGTAACGTATGCTGATGTACTGATTCGAAAGCGTGTCCACGCTATACGCATTGAAGCCCCCCCCCCCCCACCCACATATATATATATATATTATCATTGGTCTGATTCGAACTTGTCTACATACAAATTGACATATTATTTGAGCAAAAAATAGCCTCAAATGAAATCTATAAGCAAACTCGACCACAAACAGCTATAAACCAGGCTATTGTCAAGCATAACTACAGCAAAACCTAGTCCACATTTAGACTGGACTACATACAATTTGACACCCCGATTACATACAAATTGAAACCTTGACGGGGCAATTTGAGTCCTAATTTCCAGCAATCCCTTGCCCGTGCATGCATTACACGACACCAACGCTCCTTGACCGCCACCATTCCCCTATATACCACATGTGTGGTTGAAGTTTGAGAAAAAACAAGGTTTATTGTGTTAGTACAGAAATAAAACCCTGATTAGAAAACCGCTCGAATATAGTGTTAGAAGAATGGGAACACCAGGGTTTACAATGTAATAATAGCACTAGGAATATTCTTTGCTGCATACTTGTAATTGCGTGACAACCTATATCCACAACACGTTTAAACAGAGGAAATACATAACAGTCAAGGTACTTATATATCGCACATGCGAGGTAGCCCCATGCCTGCTGCGCTTAATGCGTTTGAACGCACGAAGGTCCGTTGTGCTGGATAGCGTACTGCGAGGTTTATTCATTTAGTGCACGCCTTGAAAATACACTAACGCTTTCGCAACATGCTGTAACAGTCGGCAATTGCAACAGCATCGGATGTGAGTAAATGGGAGTGTCTCTCGGGCACCAGATAACTATGTTCTGTTTTCCTGCGCTATACCCTGTTCTATCTGAGCCAGGATTGCTGCAGTCGCCTGGCAACCCCTTGCTATAAGTAATCGGTATCGTGCATCGATAGTCCACATGCACACACGCACACAAACATATATATATGCATACATACTTACATCCAGGTACATATATAAATATCCTACATACATACATGGATACATATTTTTATATAGATAGATTTAGACATACTCGTACATTACATATAGATACATAGATACACACACACACATATATATATATGTATATGCGTACATATACGTATATATTGCCTCGGGCACTGGAAATTAACGAGTTGTGCCGTAGTCAGAGGTGCAATAAGAGGTCACGTAACGCCACTTGCATGTATATCCGCATGGCGCATTGTATGTGCTTTCGTTGGCCTACGTGGGTGCTAGCTCTCTCGCACACAGCACACCAGACACTCTAAGCTAAAGGCACCAACATAAACACATGTGTACGTATATGTACATACACATCCGCGTATGTATGTGTATGTGTGTGTGACAATACATCAGAACACAAGCCTACATACCGCGCATGCTTTGCAGGCTACAGAGCGTTGTATGGCTATCTTGTTGACTGCGCCTGTATACAGTGCTTCTAGCGTAACTCTGTGCACGTGGTGCACTATGCGACTGTTGCGACGATTGGCTCTGCTGGTGGGCGGCACGAAGCCTTCGATGATGTCTATGTCTGCAACGGTGCAGAATAAAAGCTATTTTTAGAACCGTTACTCATAGAAGGGATATTTTTTAGAACGGTTATTCATAAGAGGTATATTTTTTGAACGGTTGTATTTAGGCATGACCCTCTGGATAGACTCTCTCCTAAATTTACGATTTGTCGTAGAGAGAAATTTGATTTCCGTCCCAGACCCTAGTCCAGAGGGCCAGGTTTTAGGTGCAGGTTTTAGGTGCGGTATGTACTGCGCAAGTACATTGTTACGCGTACACAGGGTCTAGCCACTACAAGTTGCGTGGAATGCCGTGGTTAGTAACAGCCGGTACTGTGCTGGGCAGGACTGAACGTGTTACGGAGATAGGCGGAACACACAGGCAGAAACAGATAACCGACATCGCAACAAGCAAGCACCCAACAACACCAAAGGTTGTCGCAGAAGGACATTGCGTCCGTGCTGGGCGTGTAAGTGATGTGTGTGTATGGGATAGTGTGCACTGCTTGAGGCGGGTGTCTTATAACCTCACTCTCTACACCCGCAGGTGGACAGGTGTGGCCCGACACACACACCTACACGTCTCCTGGTGCACCCAATCCTCTGGACACAAGCCTACACATTGACGCACCCATGTTCACATACACACTTGTACAGGTCTATGGATATCCCACATGATCGCATGCCCACAAAGGTATAAGCACATGTGGTTAGAACCCTAAACCCTAATCTTCATATGGGATGTGAGCGCAGCAGACAACGTACTTGGTCCAAATATCTCACTGAACATTTTCCGCGCGTATGCCTGCTTAGCAGCAGGAGTCCGTTCGGTACTTGCTTTGTCGGTCACAATACCCGTCCTAGGGGGCAGGGAGAGTCAGGTAAGTTATAAATAGAGCACACGAACTTACCTATTGCGCTGTGTAGGTAGGGGGTGTGTAACGGATATTTTTATCGGGGTGGAAAACGAACTCGCCGTATGCATGTGTTGTAGGGACGGCAGCGCACGCCCAGCAACAAACTTTTGAACTGTCATATATGACACACTATGACACAGGCATGAAGCTACTGAACAGGGAAGCAATACATCACAAATTGAACGCAACTGACACGAGATAACACTTGGAGTTTACAATAAAACTCATGAGCAGGCATACGTGTGGATGAGAGCATGATTGGGATTGGCTATTTAAACGATTGATACGTGTCAATGTGAGGGGGTTTCAACTATGTATTACACTTATGCAGAGTTTCTAAAGAGGAATTCACACTCACACACAAGCACAAAAACACACACACAGATATATATATATATATATATGATACATATATACATACACACACACACACACAGATATATATATATATATATATGATACATATATACATACACACACACACACACACATATATATATATATAGGATACATATATGTACATATACATACATACATATACATATATATATGTATATATATGCATCATATACATACATACAGACATAAAAAATATGTACATATATATGATATATAAATATATATACAAATACATGTCAGCTAGTTGTCCGTACCTGTCGTACTCTGCTCGTTTGACTGGGTCTTCCAACACTTGAAACGCCGCACTCAGCCGCAGAAACATTTGTGCACCCACTGGGTTGCGGTCAGGATGGAACTCTTTGGCCTTCATCCTGTACGCCTTCTTAATAGTAGCAAAGTCGGCGTCTAGTGCTACCCCCAGGATGTCATAGTACTCCTTGCCCGTGGGGCCGTCTATCCGTATATCAGCCGGGCCGGGGCGACTGTTGTTGCTGAGACTCTCCCCTCTGCTTTGTGGGTCGTGTGTGTGATCATTTGGCTGTAGTTGTTGTTGATGTTGTTGTACATTCGGTTGGTTGCTATTGTTCTGCATGCTCGGTTGACTACTACCACTACCCGCCTGGAGGCTCTGCTGTGTATGGAAGCTCGGCGGGTGTGGCCCCTGGGTCTGACCTTGGGTCTGGTTGCTATGTGGGCTGTTATGATGAGTCTGGTTGAGGAGTCTCTGAGCCTGCTGGTTACCTTGCTGCTGCCGTAGCTGTGCTTGCAGCCGCTGCTGTTCAATCTCAAACGTCTGTTGGCTCTGGTGTTGCTGTTCTTGTAGCTTCTGCATCTGTAGTTGCTGTAAGTGTCGCTGTTGCTGCACACGCAGGGTCTCCCGTTCTACCGCACACGCTCCCATACTGTTATCTGAGCTCGCGTTGTCGTCCGCTAACAAGCCCTTACTGTTGGTGCCGGGAAGTCCTCTCCGTGCCATGATAGGTGATTTGTCTGTAGAATGCGGGCTTTTCCCCGTACGGCCACTCTTCATCTTCAATGAATTGCCACCAGTGCCGGTGTTTGTATTGGTGTTGGTGTGTGTGTTTGTGCTAGTATTACTGCTAGCATGCCTATGTTGTTGTTGCTGCTGGTGTTGCTGTGCGTTCAACCACTCTGAACTCTGCATCAGGGATAAGTAAGTATTTCCTGAGCCCATCTCCATACTCTGATTGTTAATACTATTCGTATTGCTGTTGATGCCAGGACTACCTCCTCCCTGTAAAGCATTGAACCCGTCCACACTTGCCTGTAGATTGTGTTGGTGCCCACTTACGCTTCTGCTTGAAAGCGCATTCATATTCAGCGTCCCACTGCTATTATCCGAGGCCATGCCCATGTGCACGCTATCGTGACTGTTAGAGTGCTCACCCCCGAGACTGTTGCCTTGGTTACTATGCCCACGCTGTCTACCCAGGGGCAAGTGTGAATCACTACTCATAGGCACGGTTGTAGTGTGTCGCTCGAGGTCTTTGAGGATCTGATTGTTGATGTCGTCCGCACTTGCACTGTCCATGCTCTGAGTGAACTTGTATAATGCAAACGACGGTTGGTTGTTATGGTTACCGCGTGGGCCTGGGTGACTGTTCTGCCGGTGTGTGGTGAACAAGTGTGCTGCGTTCAGGCCCGGGGGTTGTTGGTCGTCGTTGGAACTCATAGCTGTAGTGGGGGGTGGGTGTAACACAGTGCTCAGTGTCCAGACAACCGATTAAAACATGCCCCACATTGCAGAGAAGTACATGTACGATACGCTGATATGTTCTACCCCAATGTATAATCGATAGCTGTATACACACACACAGAATCTCCAGGCCATATGCACACACGCGCGTGTGTTGTTACATCCAACGTTATGAACTTAGCAACCTGCCTGCACTCACACCTGTCGCCGTCCACAACATCACAGACGCGACGTAAAATATCATTGAAGAACTTCTCCCGAAGTTTTTCGAACGACCCTTTGTTGCTGTATTAATAATCACTAAATACGACAATTTGTACTTTTTTTCTAGACATTCATTGACTAGCCTTCTAAAACATTATACGGCTGTGCCCGGGTGCTCGGGAGGCCCTATTTACATAGTTGGCTCTATAGTATACGGGTGATTAAACTTATTGTTTTTTTTCTTCATATATTTATATGATGTAGTGTAGAAACATATTGTCGTATTGTCGTACTACTGCGTTGTCCAACTATCGTATTCAAGCATCCTGTTTTAAATGCGACAGCCGTCAGACGGTCATCAGCTTCACACCTCGAGATCAAAAATCGAATCGGTGATAAAAAAATCACAAAGAACAACATTTCTATGCCTTCTATGGCACTCAATGCTCCATTTTTATTGCTACATATTTATATACAGCTCAGGTGACGAGTATGTACACATTGCATTTTCAAAAGTGAATGTATTGACGTAAAGAATTTCAAGATGAACATCCTTTCTTTTAAAACTACATATAAAAACACGTAGCCTTCTCGCTTGTCTTCTTGCGATGGACAAAACATCAGGGCAAAGTCGACGGACCACAAGTGATACAAGTTTAAAAAAAAGAGACATTGTATTAAAAATAAGTCAACATGACTGACATATATAAAAGTATGTATTTTAAAATATATATACCGCGACGTATTTTCTTTCGTTCAACGACCTACTCGGCTACGCTTTTCAAATGCTACCTATCTATATATATTTGTTAACCTCACCTCTTGTATATCATTCCAAACAGCAAGAGTGTTCATCGCTATTTCCTGAAAGCACACACAAACACACGGGTATACGCACACACACACAGGTGTAAACACACACACACACACACACACACAAAGACTATATATA